TGAGGACGACTGGGTCTACATCTGGCACAGCAGCTGACGACGCGGGGCTCCCGCCGGGCCGGTCTGCAGCACTCCACTGTCTCTGCCAAGGTCCTGGGTCTGGGGGTCAGACTGGTGAATGAAATGGGGCTCTGGTGGGGGCCAGCACCGCTGCACCCGTTAGGTTCGAGGGTGGCACTGATTTCTGCTGCCCTTCGGGATGAGACACTGTTCTTATTTCTCTCCCGGTGGGGGCGGGGGGGGGGCAATTGCAGACGTCTCCACCTGGCTGGCCCCACCACCACGGCTCTGACCCTGAGGGCCACTGATCCAATGTGAAGATGAGCCAACCACCCTTTCTTTCTTTTCCGGTAACTCGTCTGAGGAGTGGAAACTGCCTCCGTCCTGGGGAGTTCCAGGGGCCCCCCTGAGAGTTTGATTTGGGCCTGGAGCCCCTGATTCTTGGGACCCGATGTGCCCGACCTGAAAAAGAGGCCAGGATGAGGCTTTGGCTGTTGAGATACTTACCTGGGCCCTGAGTCCAACGGTATTTAAGAAGTGCGAGTCTCATGTCTTCAGGGTCCGGTACAAAGAACCCAGCCTGTGCTGCCGTGCGGACGCTCTGAGGGATGTGCTTTGGCCCAGGAACCTCGGGCGGCAGCATCCTTCCCCCGGGGTTCCACGCTCTTTCAGTCCCTGGATCTGTTCTGAGACCAGCTCACAGTGCGGGCTCAGGGACCTGCTTTCCCATCCCAGCCTCCTTGGCTGGAAGAAGCTGAGGAACATCGCTTGCCTGTCCTTCTCATGGCCACCGGGCCATCCCAGCAGGCAGTTATTAAGCCCACTTGACCTTCACATCCTACCGTCATTGCTGTTTCCCTGTCAGCCATGTCCCACCGTCCACAGCACTGAGTGACACGGCTGGCCCTCACCCTCCATCTGTGACAGCGGTGTCCTACCGTCCTGCCTGGCACAGCCATATGGTGGCTTCTCCAGCTTCACCTGCTCTGTCCTGGGATTCAGGACGTAAGTCCGGGCAGGAAAGTGGGAGACCGGGAATGAACTGAGGAGGCTCCAGGGAACGTGGGGTGTGAGGCCCAGTAGGTGCAGGGACAAGCAGCAGAGCTCTGAGCAGGACAGGCAGGAACTGGAGGTCGGGATACAAATGCGCATAGCTGGCCAGGTTCCACCCACTGCGCGTCCCAAAGGCTGAGCCCCCTGTCCAGCTGGGCAGGGGCCGGAAGCACGTGGCCGGCCCTTCCCCTGACGCTGGCTGGCCCCTGG